GCAGATGGCACGGATTCCAAACCCACCTCCAATGTCACCCCGGACAAGGGACTGAGCTTTCCTGGAAATTCCCTCGTTTTCATTCTCTGAGACATAAAATGTTAGACTGGGCAGTCTCTGAGGTCCTTTCCTGCTCTAGCTAGCTGGGAGGTTAGTACAGTGCCTGGTACATGCAGCAAGTGCTTAATAAATGCTTATTCTATCGATGAGGCTAGAACCCAGAAGAGAGGAACCTAGACCACTGGACAGGAGAGTTCTCCAAGGTCTCCTTAATCTCAAAATGGGGTTGCACAGCAAGAGAATTTGCTGACATTGGGCCCAAAGGGCCACCCAGAGGTTTGAGGGGGAGAATGGGAGGGGCCCGGCGGTTCGCTGGCCCGGGGGAGGCCTGTTCTCTCCTTGTCCTCCCTGAGCTGGCCCGTAAGCAGCCTGACTGGTCTGTGGGCAGAAAAGCAAATAGCCTGGCTGGGAACTTGCTGTAACCAGGTTCCCAAAGCCCTGGAACCCTGGCCCTTGGGAGTCTGCTCGGACCCGGGCCACTTGAAAGCCTCGTAAGTAAGTGTGAAGAAGGGAGCTCGGGCCTACTTCAGGGCCAAGGCCCTAGAACAGCCGCATTAGCATTTCAAAAAGTGAGCTGCTAATTACAAATTATTCTTATCTCTTTGTTCTGCAACACAATAGCCCCCTTCTTCCTTCCCGGCTCTGAAGTGACTGCCGGTTTTCGAAAGTCATAAAATTGTTTTTTCAAAAAAAAATGTTCCAATTACTCCAACTCTTCATTACCCCATTTTCTCCCCAGTGGGGGCCAGGTATTAGGATTGTGTTGTCTTTAGAAACCACAGAAGCAGAAACAAATGGCCAATACCAGGCAGAACCAAGAGCCGAGGGGGAAGTGGGGACACAGGGGCAGAGAGATAGGAAGAAAGGGAAAAGACCAAAAAGAAACTCTGGGTGAGAACGGTGAAAGTGAGAGAGAAAGAGCAAGGAAAAGGGAGGGGGGGGGGG